GGTTGATAGAGAAGTTACAGAAGGCTTTAAAAGTTACGTGTAACTGGTAAATGTTACGTGTGTTAATTGTACATAAGTTAAGAGAATGTTACAGGGCAACACAGTGGCGTTAATACCAAAGTATATACATAGTACAGTATATCACTAATTTTGTATTGTGGAACAAAATGAGATCGAGTTTCGTATTTTGATTATTATCATTGTGTATGAGATAATTTAAGACTGGACATTCCTCAATAATTGTTGGTAATTTAATTAATAGATTTAATAAATAAAAACGAGATATGTTCACTTGTAATAAACAATCCGCGCGTTATTGTTCATACTTCCACTTTCCTTAATATTAAAAAAATTACAAGGACACAATATAAATATGACATGAAAAACCAGGTGTATATATATATATTTTTTATCACATATGTATATATACAAGTAAAGTATAATACTTATATTTTGTAAGTCTTAATAGGATTAAAAGGGAACATTTTAGTACACGTAAAACATTCATCAATTTTGCACAAAGACGTCTTGAAGTACATATACATGTTTCCCAGTAAGCGTGTACATGTGTACTCTCTCGTCGCGAAAAATTCGATCTTTTTTTTTTCATTAATATGATTATTTTCTTTTCTAGGGACCGAGAAACGTTCATTTGCTAACAACTATCGTAATACGAACACAGTCCTAACATTCGATGCGTGTAAAATAAGTAATGTTAACTTCGAGACGAAAAAGACTGTCTTCGCATTTGAACGACTTCGATGAAGATTGCGATAAAACGTGAAATATTAAAAATGTTTATTTATACGCGGTCAACTTCACGAGGGAACTTTCCTCGACTAAATTTTAAACGAAGTTTCACCCTATTTTCTCGATACTTTTTTTTTTCTTCTTACTCTTTTTAAAATTATGAAAAATTACAAATTCAAGACTCTGAAATTCGTATTTTCGCTCGATTTGTCCTATATCCCCTATATCAGATTCAAAATACGTTGAATTCGAAAAAGATGCGAAACACTTACGTCCTCGAAGAAAATTCCTTCGTTGTCGCGTGATATCGAAAGATTAAAGTTCCCTTGTCGGATACGTATACTTTCACGTACAGGTCAGTACGGTTGTCCTTACGGCATACTCGAGGTGTTTTAAAAACATAAACTATCCATTAATGATTTTCAAATGGTCATTGTAATTAACCTTAGAAACGGTACTCTTAACTCATGATACAAAAGTTCCTTATCCTAAGAAGAATGTAGAAATCGAAGATTGACATTAGTAACAACTCTCGAATGAAACTTGCGCGAAAATTCGAAATACCTTATATCGATATCTCGAACGGTTTCTTTACAGTGAGGGGAGAAGTGCACAGAGTAAAACGAATCCGTCTGGTTGCCGTAATCTCGAAAATGTTCGTCGACGTACATAAATACTTCGCGTTCGTATATATCTCATTATTTGTCGTACGAAATTACCAATAATCTCGGTAATAATCTACGATACATGACGAATCACAAATGTTTCGTTATTTTTACGTATTGTTTATCGTAATAACTCTGAGGTATTACGTACGTTCGTAATTTAAGAAAAATCGGAATTCTTTGAACATTATTCTGAATCCATCTCGGGAAATATATTTTGAAATTCTTACTCGATATTATAAACGAAATTTTTCGTTAATTCCACTTTTGTCTCGATAATCCCCGTAGATGAAGATCATGGAATTAAGTATACCGTGTACCGATCGCCAATTAAACCAGCATTCTAACGTTCTCGAAGGGAAAGAAGAAGTAAAATAACTTGAAACTTGGCGCTTTTCTAATTGGCTATCGGCGTTGTTATATTGAAGGTTGTCACATGTGCTGTTTATGCTTGACATGTAAACGGTCGGTTGGCTTGGTGTCACGTGACTTGGAAATAACGTATTTCCGAACGCTCAGTTGGCAACGCGGGATTTTGGATGTGGCGCGTGGAACTCTGGCAACATACGAAATTGTGTTTAATCGTTTCAAATCAGTTGTGTTGTTGCGTTGAAGCAAGTCGTAGCGGTCGAACGCGTAGCTGAAGTGTTACTCTACGTTATGAAAGTGTTTTTCGCGAGTGACATGTTTACAAGTGTGGAAAAAACGAAGAAATATCGTCGGACAACCGACGACGACTCGTCTAACCATATCTCGAGCGTCCATTTTTTGTGAGTGACCCCCGATCATCGAATGGTAAGTAACAAGAAAAATATTTAACAATTGAATCGTTTGCAATGAACAGCACATTGAAAAACCTTTCAATATCACATATATGTATATGTATACGTGTGCCTGTGTCTGCTGGTATGTCGTGTGTATGTATAATATACATATAGCTATCTTAAATACATATGTACATCATTTTTCTTACGAAGTTAATGAATTAATGTACGGGACACGTTTTCTTTTTCTGGTACCGATCTTTTGCTTTTTGATTTTCATTCGAAATTACACGAATTATTTTACGAGAGCTGCGTAGAATCGAATTAACGTTGGAACCAAAGTATCGTACGATAGATGGAGCACAAGGTGACTTTAGTGTCCGGACAGACCGTTTTTGGAGACCATTTTGTTTAGATTTCTCTCTCGCCGCTTTATTTAAACCGAAAACACGCCAGACATTGTTTTTTTTCTTCTTTTTCTTCTTCTGTATTTCCATTTCTTACAGCTTGTGAAACGAATAACCTTAAAATGTTTATCGAAACGTTGCGCACAGTTGAAGATCACATAAATGTCTGTATGTGTACATGTGTGTATCTCTCTCTGTGTATGCGTGTGCGTTTGTGTTTGTGTGTAAAAGTCAACGTTATACAATAATATCACTAGCGTAGACTGTCGTATCGCTTATAATTGCATATATTACAATAGACGATCGAAGTCGAGTAGAAATCGTAAATCTTGTGAGTCGATTAAAATGAATATTTCCTAGCCGACTTTGTTCTTCTTTCTCAATTAATCCTACTTAAATAGTTTCTCAACTATGAATATGCCTCGAATATAGCTCAGATATTCGGAAGTGATAGTGGACTGTTGTAAAAATAAAAATTTAACATTTGTTATCTTGAGGTTGCGTATGGAAGGACATGTTTTATTGTTTATTGTACGTTATATACTGCTTTGTTCGGTGTAAAAATATAAAGCATTTCGATTACAGACTTCGTATGTATGGGCGTTGCCATTGTTACCGAGTAATCGGCAGTTATTACGATAATCTCTTTCTCGTGTCTTCCTTGATGCAGGGTTGCACTAATTATCATTCATTAACGGTACAAAAAGAAAAAGCAAAAAAGAAAAAGAGAGAGAGAGAGGAAAAAAACAGAAGAAAAATAACGAGAGGAAAAAGGAAAATTAACCCCTGTGTAATTAGTAGATAGAAAGTTCACTAACATTATATACCCTATTTCTCGACGCAATATAACACCATCGAAATAACCTTCAAACAGAAGTTCCAAATGGAAAATTTTCCATTGGTTTATCGGTGACCACTATTCCAACACGATATTCCAAGGAACATCGTGACAACAAAATATCACCGATTTACCAAAACAATCTTCAGCTTGTAGGTTACCTTTAGCTTCGTAACTGTCTCCAGTGTAAACTAACCTTCATTCGTGAAAGAATCGCCGTTAGAAAATGTACGTATGCGCACGCAATGGAAAAGAAAAATGAACGAAAAGGGGGGTGGTGTGATTAAGATAGCATTGTGTGTATGACGAGGAATTAGTCGGTCACTTAAAGCGCAACGATATCACGCGAGGGCATCGAAACGGATTTACGCGTTTAATATAAAAAGGAAAACGAAGGCTCGTGTATGTATGTGTGTAACTATCTGTCTATATATATATATGTGCAACCCAGCTTCAAGAAACAGTCTCTAGCTCTCTCGTTCACCTAACAATGGCCCAGGCTATGGAGTTAATAATTGCTTTTACGTGGCAATGATAACAATATGCGTGTATAACAAATGTACTTAGAAACGGTTTCACTTGTGCTATTACTGCTCTCTGGCGATAAAAATTAGATATCATTGTGCTGCGAGTTCGGTGATATTTTCTTTTTCTTTTTTCTTTTTGCATCCGTTTTGTTTTCTTTTCGTTTTTTTCTGTATGTCTTTTTAAACACTATACACTTCCTTGATTGTGCGCCCAAAAACATGGCGTACGGACCCGCGAACAACGTGGACCGGTCACGGTCCGTCAGGCGCGCAACAAGACACGCATTCATCAACTATATTCACTATTCTTCTTCATTTTTTTCCGTCTATTTTTATTAATTTTTTTCACTTCTTGTTGCTCGTCGTGCTTTTTATCCCCTTTTTTTTTTTGCTCCTTTTTGTTTGTTCGCTTTTTGCTTGTTTGTTTTTTACTTTTTTGTTTCTCGAAGAACGTTCGTGTTTCTCTCGTTATTGTAAAATTAACGAACCTGTGGTCCTGTATATATATACACACACACTCTATATATGTATATATATATATATACACACTAGTGATTCCCATTATTTTTTATTTATTTATTTTTCTTCCCGTTTCTTTAAAGTGCTTCGTTTTTTTCTCTTTTCTTTATCTGTATTTCTGCGTATACCAAGAGAGATCCGCGCAATATAGTATCGTGATTCACATCGACGCCGTAAATAAAGCTTCTGTTACAATTTAATTTACCGAAATACTAATTTCATTTTTCTCTTCCCGTTAGATAGGCTTGGTCTCGGTATCGTATTGTTCTCGGTCTCCCGCGTACCGGGTGTCT